TTAGAGAAGCTAATGAAATCATACTCTAAAGTGCTCAAGGTAAGATTCATACAGATGTATGTTGTTGGTATTAATCAGTAAAAAGATAAAAATAAAATTCGATGGCTGGGGGGTGAGGGTCCAAACCATAGCACTTGATGTATCACTCCTATGAGGAAGACACCTATTCTGGTCCCTCAGGCTGTGCCCTGCACTCCAGCTGGGCTTTGCCTGGACACTTTTCTTTTCATCTCTGCCTTTGAACACGCTGCTCTTTATCCAAGGCCTTGGTCAAAAGCCTCCTCTTCCACAAAGTCCTTCTTGCTCTTGGGAATTAATTTCTCTCTCCCACATGTCCCTTCTCTGCTTCAGAGATCACCATGTGCCACCTGTGAACTCTTGTAATTTGTTTCCAGATTGAGCCCTGTTACTAGAAAGACAATAGTGTTCTTTTAAAAAATTATTTATTTTATTTATTTGAGAGAGAGAGAAACATCAATTTGTTCTTCCACTTATTCATCAATTCATTGGTTAATTATTATTTTTAATTTTTTTTCTTTATTGATTTTTAGAGAGAGAGGAAGAGAGAGGGAGAGAGAGATAGAAACATTGATGAGCAAGAACATCGATTAGCCACCTCCTGCATGCCCCCAACTGGCGATCGGGCCCACAATCTGCGCATGTGACCTGACTGGGAATCGAACCAGTGACCACTTGGTGCATAGGTCGACACTCAACCACTGAGCCACTCTGGCTGGGCTAATTTTTTTTTTAATTGATATTTTTAGAGAGAGAGGAAGGGAGAGGGCTAGAGACAGAAAGAAACATTAATATGAGAGTGAATATCAATCAGCTGCCTCCTGCACACCTCCTACTAGGGATCGAGCTTGAAACCTAGGCATGTGCTCTGACTGGGAATTGAACTGGCAACCTTTCGGTGCATGACATGATGCTCAACCAATTAAGCTACACCAACCAATGCATCAGTGGTTGACTCTTTTCTTTCTTTATTGATTTTAGAGAGAGTTTTCTTTTTTTTTTTAATTCTCACCTGAGGACATGTTTTTATTGATTTTAGAGAGAGAGGAAGGGAGAGGGAGAGAGGGAGAGCAAAATATTGATGAGAGAGCGAAACATTGATTGGTTGCCTCCTGAGCATGCCGCAACCAGGCATCAAACCTGCAACCTAGGTATGTGCCCTGACTGGAAATTGAACCTCTACCTTTTAGTGCACAGGACGACACTCCAAACAACTGAGCCACGCCAGCCAGGGACAAGTGTTCTTGAAAGAGGTAACTGTGTTCTCTTTCATCTTGAGGTTGGTTCCTCTGGCAACCAGCCCCCTTCCCGAAGTTACCTAGAGTCCCACTAAGAGTCACCTGATTACCATCAACTCAGGTTGAAAGGTTTTTCTTAAAAACCAAAGTCACTCCTGTCACTCAGGAGATTCCAAGGGTTTTGTCCTCTGTGCCAGGACCTAAGGACAAGACCATACATACATTTTAAATGATACCACAGGTCCCTTGATGTTGCTCTTAGGAGTTTTCAGAGCTGAGGAAGGGAAGGTAGAGGTCAGGGGACATTCTCTGTAAAGTTGGTGTTTCAATTGCTCTGAAGCCATTACCAGTCCTTGAGTCCTTTCTTCCAAATCAGTGTGCCTTTGGAATGTGTCCCATCTGCCACCCACAAGGAGGGTCCCTAGGGCTGCAGGCCCTTCCTCTCTGTCCTCATGCTTTCCCTTGTTTCTTCTCTTTCAGCAGTCCTCAGTTTCTTGCCCTTTCCCCTCCCAGAGACCCACCTGCTTCCTGGAGTGGTCAGCCTGGGATCAATTGCTCGCCTTTCTCCCCAAGTTGTCAGTGGGCCAGAGAGGAACCACTTTCTGCGGGTCTTGACGACAACGCTTATTAGGAGTCTAGGTGAGAATGTCACACCTGCTTCCCCTTTAGTGCTTAAAAAATGAAGCCCAGACTCCTCACACTCACACTCAGCTTCCCCACCTCGCTTCTGGCCTTATCTGTTGTCTGCCGCCTAGGTTTGCCCTTGAGTTGTCATCCTCGAAACTTCCCGGGGCCTTTCCCACCTCATCCCCCTTTCCCTTCTCCAGGTCAGCCTCCCTGAACACTTGTTCTTTCAGTCACACATTTTATTAAATGTGCCCTGTCTGCCAGACCCTGTGCTGGACGCCAGGAGGAGCACGAGGAGGGCAGCATGGCTCTCTTCCTCCTTATACACAACTGTCAGGCAGGCTCCAGGTCCTGGCAACCCCCAACTGCCCTCCTCCCAGCCTCTCACGTGTTTGGCACCTGGCGCCACTTCCTTGTTTTGACATTCTTTCAGGTTTCTGTGTCTCCCCAGCTAGATACTTAGATGAACTTCCTCCATTCACATCCGTGTACTGAGTGCCTGCCCCAGAGCAGAACAACACGGTCTAACCCCTCCCCTGTGGTGTGGTGTGTCAGATGGATAAGAAAGAAGAACATGCATAATAGGTACACAGGAGGGCAAATTTTGTGATGGAAACAAACAGTGCCATGATGGGCAGTGGGCGTGCTGGTTCAGTTGGGGTATCAGAGGAGCCCCTTGCCCCTCCGACCCCAGAGGTCCCACAAAGTTGGGCGTTGTGTTATGCAGAGCTGTTCTTTTCATTGAAAAATGAAAGTGCAATACATCCTTGTTGAAAAATTTAAACCCGTCCTTTGCTTTTATTTCCAGTTTTTATTAGAAGTTAGTTATAGACTTTCAATATAGAAGCAGTATCAGAAGGATCACCTGATTGGAAAGAGGGACCTGGAGCCCAAGACAGAGGAGCTTCAACTATCCATCTAAGAGAATGGATAGAACTGAGGGAGGGGTCCCTTCCAGTCACCCCTGGCCACCAAATGGCTCCACGATCATGACATCCCTCTGCCCTGTTCCATTCTGGTTCCACATGAACTTGTTGCCCTGGAAAAATGAGTCTGTTGAGATGGCAATGCCACTGTATTTGACCAGTGTGTCTGTGTCTGTGTCTGTGCCTGTTGGAGGTGCTGGCTTGCAGTGTCGCCATCAGAATAATGGTCCTATTTATAGAGCATTCTCTCTGAGCCAAGAACTGTACTGAGAGCTTTACACACATGACTCATTTCACCCTCACCCTCACGAGAAATTGCAAGGTAGTATCAGGGGTCATCTGCATTTTGACAGGTGAGGGTGCTGAGGCTCTGCGAGGTTATGGAACTGAGGCAGAACCGGATCCATATTCAGATCTGTCAGACTCCAGAGCCTCTGGTCCTGATGACTGTTACCTTCTGCTACTCAGAATCCTTAGAATGCTTCAGGATGGTCTTCCATATGGAGGATGTAATTAAAGTCTGTGGAATAATGCTCTGGGGCAGAACAAGTAATGTTAACTCTGGAAGTGATGACTTGTCTGAGGTTACATGGTCACCTCAATGTAGAGGTTCATTTCCATCCCCAACCCCCATTCAACTACCTTATAGAGGTGCTGGGAGATCTAGTGAGTGCTGGTTACGCTGGGATGGTGGGGTGGTGATGGCTATGCACAGGGAGGGGTAGCCCAGTTTTTAGCAATCTGATACAGAAAAGAGGGGGTGGCCCAGAGCCCAGAGATGAGGGTTCTGCCCCTTAGACCCCTCCCCATTTTCTTCATTAAAGAGTGATTCTTATAATAGTCTCCACCTTAAAGGGGCAAAGGGGGGGGGGAGTAACCTGCTTGGTCAGGAGGGAACAGACTACAGAAGAGTCAAAGCAAGGCCAGTGACATTCTGATGCTCAGGTCACCATTTCTAACAGGCAACTGCTGCAGACCCAGGCATTGCATCATGAGCAAACACGAATGTTGAGAAGCTTGACCTTGGCCTCTAGAGCTTACAGAAGTTGAGAGGAGAACCATGGATATGATTCAGTAGTAACAATGCAGAGGGACCAGTGGATAGACATATTTGTAGGATTGTGTCTGTGAGTAGAGGAAACTTGACAGAAATTTCTGCAGAGGCAACAGGATGGAGCGGGGTGGGGGTGGGAAGGGTAAGGGTGGTGGTGATGTGGGTGGTGTCAGGGCTGGGCTGCTTTTGTGGAGGTGTGATTTCAGGAGCTGGGAGAGCTGAGTATATGATGCACAGGAGATTCTAGGGGACAAATCCAAGGCAGCAGTAGGATCAACTGTCCAAACCTTCATATTCCTATATAAGGGGTAGAAGAGAGCAGTTGCCCTTTCTAGCAACCTGAATATGATAGTAATGGGGACAATAGTAAGTAGAATATTAAATGCATCAGCCTCCAGAAATATGCACAGTACACTCACTGTAGGGAATTGACTTACTGGTATTAAACAGGAGAAGAAGCCAAGCTGGTACATATTGTGCGCCTGTGCATCACCCTGGCTAGGGAGAAGTGCCAATCAGAGGAGTGACTCTGCAGAGGTGGAATTTGGGGTGTCTGCAACGCGCCTGGGGCCGTGCGGGGTCTCCCTGGAGCAACCTGTACCACCAGCAGGTGGCGGTCTATCTGCGGGCCTCAAGGTTCCCGTGCAGAAACTTGAACGGGATGTTGACGGCACTGCGTGAGAAGGGTACAGCCGCAGTTCGCTGAGCGCAGCCGTGGACATCCGCGAAAAAGTGGGGAGAGAAAGGTGCGGACTTCCTGTTGGAGTTCCTCGAGCATTCAGACCCCACGAGCTTCATTCAGGAAGGCTTCAGGAAGGGTGAGTACGGATCCGCGCACGGAAAAGGGAGAGATGTCCTTTTTTAAGGGTATTGTCTTTGGCTTGGATTGACTGGCTTTCCGAACTTCCGAGAAAGATTTATGGAACGGAGCTGACTGATCAGGTGGAGGGAGCGCGGAAAAGAATCCCGGGAAGCCGGTGTCTGCGCGCCCGGCTCTCAGCCGGCGGAGGAGCGCGGGTCCACTACCGCCAGATGGCGCTGTCTGGCCTTCCCTCGGCTTCCCGCTCCGGTCCCTAGAGGCTCCCGCCGTAGCGGCCGCTCTAGCCGGCCGGTGCGGGCTCTGTGGTTCCGGGCGGAAGTGAGGCGCCGAGTGGAACGGCCTCTGGTGACATTTTCTCCGGTCGGCGCGGACGAGTGAAGGGACTTGGTGTGGTGGAACCTGCGGAGGCGGCGAGATTCCCTTTGGCCCCGGCGGGGCTCTGACTGTGCCTCTCTGCTCGCCGCCGGGGCTTGTGCTGAGGAGGAGAAGGCGGCGGTGGCCGTCCCGTTCCGAGTCACCGCAGCCGGGAGAGTCCCGGCTTGGGGGGGGTCGGCGCGTACCCCGACGGGGCGCGCGGGGCGGACGAGGAGGTGCGGGGCCGCCGCGAAGCGCAGGTGAGTCGGGAAGGGGCGCAGGGCAGGGCCTGGCTCGGTGTGGAGCCGCGGGACCCGGGCTGCGTGCCGGGGAGGGTCGGGTTGAGTCGGAGGGATGCGGGCCGCACGGGTGAGGGCTCTGCGGAGTCCGTGCTCCGAGGTGGGGACGGGCCCGCTGGCGGCGCCGGGTGTTCGCGCCCGGACTTGGCGGGAGGCGCGGCCCGCGTGGGGGCTAACGAGGGGTGGTGGTTGCTCGCTCGCTCGCTCGCTCGCCGGCCCGCGGGCTGGTGACCCTCTCGTCCTCCCGGCTCGGCCGAGTTGGCGGGCCGAGCCCCTCCTTCTCTTCCCTGGACCGCGGGGGCCCGGGCCAGGCGCGTCCCTTTCCCTGGGGGCTGAGAGGAGGCTGGAGGTGCCGCAGCCCGTGGGCCGCGCGGCGGGGCGACTTTACGGCCCTGGAGTTGCCTTCACGCAACTTTCCGGCGCCCCGGTGGGCGGAGGGGGGGCCGTGGCGGCAGCTCTGCCAACTCTGCGGGCTCCGCCGGCCGTGGTCTGGCGCCGACACCTGCCTCCTCCAGAGAGCCCAGGCGGCCGTCCCCGCGCCGCTGCTGCGGTGGCCTAGGAGGAGCGAGGAGAGGCTTTCTCAGGCTTGGCGCCGACTGCCTCTGGGCGCTCGCTTGCTTTCTGTCGGCAGCTGCCTCTGGTCCACGGGAGGGATGCGTCAATCTCCAAAATTGATCTCTTCTGGTGCGTTTGTCAGCTTTATGTAGGAAACTGACGAGGATGTAAAGTGACGAGCCCCAAGTTAAAGATCCTCGTCTTCTCTGACCGTTCCCAGAGAGTTCTCTTCTTTTCCCCAGTAGCACTTTGTACGTTATTTCTCATAGCACCGACCTCAATGTATTGTTGGAGCAGCAGCCCCCCCCACCCCCCCAAGAGTCAACTGCTCGTCATTCATTCTGCCTTTTAAATCGTGGTCTCCATTGTCACAGAGTAGATGCTCACTGGTTGAAGGAGTGAACGTTTGTACTTGTTCTGCCAGAGGGAACCGCTTGAGCAGTTTATCCTTGGATGTGCTTTTGGTTTCTTGCTTGAACTTTTGCTTTCTGAATCCTTCCACCCAGTAGGATGAAAACTCTATTGTTGATGCTTTGTCAAGGTTGGACCTCTTAATTACAAATACATCTGGCAGTTTTGCTTAGGTCGTTAGTGTGTAGTGTCATTGGGCACATGCTAACAGTTTGAATCACTCCCGTTCTTCTCCTGAGATATTTAAGGATGGAGGTTAACTTTCTAATGTAGTTTTGCTGATCCTGGCAATTTGGAATCCTCCAGTAAAAGCATTGCCTTTTGGTTTAACAATCCTTTTTAGAGGCCTACAGTTGGTAGCTAATACCTGATGTCCTGAGGAGTCACAACACTAGGAAGTGTAGGAAGTGTAATATTTTGGCAGAGTAACCTGAGTACTTTATGCTCAGTAATACAAAATTATGAATTAAATTTGAATTCAGGAAACTAGATGAAATTTACTGTGATAATCTGTATGCTACTTTAAAAAGGGCTTAAGTGAAATTTCTTGCAGTTCCATGAAATGAGAAATAAAAACATTTTTAGACATTTCTAAATTAGATTCCTTTAGATTACTTTTCAGTACCACTGTAACCTTAAAACTTGAAACCACATCTTCATGATATTAATATATAGATGTAAACCTTAAAATAGGTGTATATAATATGAAAGGCAGGAAGAAGTGTCATGGTAATTATACACCTATATAGATCAGCTAAATATGATTTCTTTTTCTTTTTTTCCCCTTTATTGGTTTTACAGAGAGAGGAAATGAGAGGGAGAGAGAGATAGAAACATTGATGAGAGAGAACATCTACTGGCCGCCTCCTACATGCTCCCCACTGGGGATCGGTCCCACAACCTGGGCATGTGTCCTGACCAGGAATCGAACCGGTGACCTCTTGGTACATGGGTTGACTCTCAACCGCTAAACCACATTGGCTGGACTAAATATGATTTCTTAATGGAAAGAAATTTTTCCTGACATATTTTTGTGAAAAATTGGAGGTACTAGATTTTGGAGCTGGAAACTTTCCCATTGTTGATTAGCTTCATATTAAGTTCACAGTGTAGCAGTTACATTACTCATTAATTCAGTTTCTGTTACTCTTAGATGAATTTATGAAAGAGTGTTATAATACTTTTTTTTATAGTCTTCATGATTTATCCAAGACTGATATATTAAAGATAAACTAAGCTTTAAGTTTTAATTTAATGTAGTTCTATTAGAACTGAGTGCTCAGTATATGTCCTTCAAAGGTTTCTATTTTCATAAGTGACATTGGTAACTTAAGTATCCTTACTATATGACTAGTAACTTCTGGGAGCTTGTGTAATCACTCATTATTCAAGGGATTGTTTTGCTGGGATCTTTGATCTTATGGTTTTGTTTGGAAGTGTGCATGAATAGACTTGATATATGGGCAATTAGGATTTTTTTTTTTTCTCTTAAAGTTTGGAATTGGTATATGCTAGAGACCCAAATCCTGTGTTTGTAACTTTGGTAAATAAATCACTTTAGAACTTTCTAATTTTTCTGCATGTAACTAAGGGAACATGTTTATGGAATTAACAATACTTTAGAAAACCTGTAAAAAATGAGGAATGCACTATGATATGTTTTCTTTCGAACCATACTGATTTCAGTATTCTCTAATATTTTAGGAAAAAGTTTGGGGCCAAATAAAGTTTCTTGGATAGCTGTAATTATATAGTAAAAATGAAATAGACACATTAATAACCGAGTAAAAAGCTGTGAGACTATTGGAAGGAGGAAGCGCTATTGAGAAAACAGATGAGAAAACATTCAGGTGGCACCTTTTCATTCTCACAACACTAATTTATTGAACGCTTGAAGTTGACTGTGTGCCAATGGTGCTCTAGTTGTTAGAACTATAGTGATGTCTAAGACTGACAGGGTCCTGATGCTACAGGAGCTTACATACTTATTTATTTTTGTTAATCCTCATTTGAGGATATTTTTCCATTATTTGTGTATTTATTTATTTTTTTAGATAGAATGGAGGAGAGCGAGAGAGAGAGAAAGAGAGAAACATTGATGTGAGATAGACACATCAATTGGTTGCCTCCCACACAACCACCCTGGCCCTGGTCCATGGATTACCTACAACCCAGGTACATGCCCTTGCCCGGTAATTGAACTTGAGACCCTTTGGTTTTTGGGCTGACGCTCTTAACTGCTGAGCCAAACCGGCCAGGGCAGAACTTACACATTAAACCTGAGGTTTGAGGTGAATTTCCAGGTGAGCATTTCAGGCTAGGGGACAGCCTAAGCAAAGTTGTGAATATCAATGATCTTGAATGGTTATGTGTGGCCAGAGACTTGAGTTTACAGACGGATGGGTAGGGTAGAAGAAGGTAGGGCCAGGTTATGAAAGTACAGTACCTTAGTCTGCTAATGAGTTATTACCTCTTTTAGAGGGGGAAAAAACTCAGGTGGAACATAGAAGATGAGATAGACATTCCTTTTCAAAGATTTTTCTTTAGCCTTCGTTTTAGTGAGTAGAAATTTTATTGGTTTTATTTTTTTATTTTGGGTTGATTCTTTGATAGTCATTTTTTAGTTGTCAAACTCCAGTCATTTAAATTTGACTGTTGTTGTAGAACTTTTCTAAATGTTTAACTTTTATCTTTATTGTACCTACTTTCCTATGCTCTTTAAGGACTCATGAATGAGTTTAAGGGAAGTACTGTTTTCTGCTTCTGTGTGGGCAGTTTTTTTCAGCAGTACTGGGATTGATATTCATTCAGTCAGTTTTCACACTGAGCCTATAGGTCCTTGTGGTAAAAGAATGGACAAGGATGAAACTAAAAAGTATCTTGCTTGCCCTGGCTGTTGTGGCTCATTTGGTTGGACCATTGTCCCTTACACCAAAAAAGGTTTCGGGTTTGATTCCCATTCATGGCAAGGACTGGAGGCAACTGATCTTTGTTATCTCTCTCACATTGATGTTTCTCCCCACCGTCTCTCCCTCCCCACTCCTTTCCCCTTTCTCTAAAATCACTAAAAGTATATCCTCTGGTGAGAATTTAAAAAACATATCTTGCTTGTTTTATTCTTATATATATTCCTGAGTTGCAAGGGAGGAAATATGTGTGGTATATATTATACATATTTATCATAATGTATCAGTAGCAGCTGATAATAGTAAGTGTAATTTAAATGTTATTTTATAGTAGTAAAATAACCAGTGTAACTCAGATTTGATGGTTGTCTTATTTAAGATTTATGGCTTTAATTTATAGTGTTTAAGTTTTGTTTCTGTTCTCTTTCATGTCTTTATTCAAAATAGAGACCTCATTCCTCTTTGCTCAGATTTTATCACTTAATAGCCAATAGACAGATGTTGTAAATCCTGTTATTAATTTGACTTTATTTAATTTTAAAACTACCGGGATGGATATTTTCTAGTTAAGTATGATTAAGCAAAAGTAGAACTCTCTCCACAGAACTTATTTTTATTTGTATGTGGGGGCATTAATAACTGGTTAAATGAAAAACTCTTACTGAGCAGTTAGGTGCCAGGTGGGGATAGGTACAAAGAGAAAAGAAGTCTTTTCTGCCCAGGAAACTCAAATGTGAACCAGATGATTTTTTTTTTTTTTTTTTTTTGCTTAATCCTCACCCGAGGATATTTTCCCATTGATTTTTAGTCAGAGTGGAAAGGAGGGAGGGGAGGAGGGAAAGAGACAGATACATAGATGTGAAAGAGACACATCTGTTGGTTGCCTCCTGAAGGGGCCATACCCTGGCAGGGATAGAACCTGCAATCCATCTACGTGTCCTTGACCGGTAATAGAACCAGAGACCCTTCGGTCCACAGGCCCATGGGTTTGATTCCGGTCAAGGGCATGTGCCTCGGTTGTGGTTCATCCCCGGCCCTGGTTGGAGTCTTTCGGGAGGCGGCCAGTCGATGTGTCTCTCTCACATCGAT